AGTATGTTAGTGTTTTAGCGCCTATGAATGGAAGCTAGAGCTGTATGCTCAGGGGTATGAATTTGTTTCAGAATGCTCCCAGGCCTGCTGGGGTAATAGTATAAACTGTGAAGCGCATAGGGCTTGCTGTTGAGGGGGGATTTGCGCAATACAAATGTTATCTATTATTACTAACTAAGCACAAGGTATTGGTCTACCTACCGTGACTTTACATATACACAATGTACATATGCGGGCTAACCCAGATTTCAAGGGTTTCCAGATATCTTGACCTACACCAAAAGTGGACATTGCCCTAACCATAGTAGACGTTTGGTTTCGTTGGTGTGTATATAGATCTGTGTTTGGTTTTAGAAAAAAACTCTACTTGTCTTTTAAAGAAACTGAACAAAGGGCAAAACTTTACTTTCTATTTTCTCAAAATACATTTTCCGGGATAGCCCTTTGTGCTTATAAGCGACCATATAGTAGGCGTTAATTTTAAGACGGGTCGAAACAAAATGAGATGAAAGTTGACAATCTGGAAAATTCACCCGACATTCGAGTGGCTCTGCGTAATCTTTCGAATAGCTGCAGCAGAAGAAAAACTCGTGAATGTTGAGTGGTAGATTCAATTAAATAGACACCAGTCTACTTTCTATGCCTCAACTGAGCTGAATGAGGTGTAAAACAGGGGCGGCTAGTGGGGCTTAAAGGTAGGTGTGCACAATTATGCCATAGCAGGTTGAAGATAGTTAAAGACATAGTAAATGAGATGGTGTATAATTTATTTAGGATCTTTGGGTTGGTGAAGGAGGACTTTATGCTTATATTCTCGTTCTTTTTACATATCGCTTTGATTTCTAGAACTGTTTGCTAAACATCAATTTCTTTATCTTGCATTGGGACTGAACACTCGAGTAATAACTTTTACCACTCTACTACAAAAACCATTCAAAGACACAACTCAAAGGACGCAGGACGGTGACTTAAGTATGTCACGTTCACCTCCATCAGGTTCACTGTCACAGAGTCACTTAAAATAGTGGCAAGACACTTGAGCACTCCGTTGGATTGCTCCGGGGCTCACATAATTTTGGCGGAGTTTACAATCTATCTCGTTTATTTTTAGACTGCCTACTGTGGGCTACGTTTCGTTGGTGCACTTTTGAGATGAGCCGTCTTATTAATATTAAAGAACCGCCAAACTCGCTACGAGTGTCGTCATCGCTTGGGTTATCCAGAAGAGCGATTTATAGGTCAGGTTACCACTGTTGAATATCCTATTAGGTTTAGATAAAGCGCGTGGACTTTGGCATGGCAGGGTATATTTTTACGGCGCCTCAAACATAGAAAAGACAGTTACGGCGCCAGCGAGGACTTTGTTTTGATATAATATTTGACTAGCGTTTTTGTTTCTGACTTATTTTATTTCATGTTGGTGGGTGCTTTTCGTAATAGAACCATCACCATCATTGAAAAAAATTGTGCGGCACTGCATGACCGTGCTCTATAGACGAACTGCGCCTGGTGTAGAATTAAGATCACGTGACCCCCTCTTACCTCGGCGGGGTCACAGACGGTGGGTGCGTCATTGCAGTGTGCCAGGCCCAGGTCATGGATCGTGTCCAGCAGGATGGTCAGGATGTCTGAGGGGAAACACACACAGAGGTCAAAGGTCTGGGGGATACACGCACAAAGGTCAAAGGTCAAATGTCTAAGGGGGACAACACACAGAGGTCAAAAAGGTCAAATGTCTAAGGGGGACAACCTACAGAGGTTAAAGGGGAAATGTGTCACGACGCTGCGGAATCAGGCTCTCGTCAATATTTGGGCATGTAGAGTTATTGGTATCATCTTATAGCTTGTTCATAATGTGTCCTGCTTTGAATGAAAAAACCCCATTCATATATTTTGAACAGAAGTCGAGATATTTCCAAATGAAAGAGGTGGGGGTCACCTAGTTTTAGAGGTAAAATTAGTGAGAAATTGACCTCCAAAGATGAGTTATTTTCCTTAGCTTGAGAGTCCGGGGATACTGAAAATTTACAATGTTTGTGTTTTTAATCAGTTTTTCGGTAAAATCCACACAGAATTGTGTTCTTTAATGGGCATGAAAATTGTTGAGTCATGAAAAGAAAATTTGATAAAAATTCACACATCTGCAGGAAAACACCAGTTTCTTCAATTTGTTTATTCTGACGAGTGCCTGATTTCCCCACGCTATCTCACAAATGTCAGGGGGACAACACACAGAGGTCAAAGGTCAAATGCTTCAACATACAGTGCCCGAACTGGGTGGCAGCCGAAGCCTGCTCTTATCGATTTTGGACAACCAAGTGATCATAAACGTGCACAACTTACACACGGGACCTCGAGACTTTTCGCCCTTGTCGGAGAAGGCTAGGTGTAGATCTTACCTACCAGAAGATCAGGGGTGTGGCTGAAAGACAGCAGTAAGAAGGAGCCAAGGAGAAGAAGTAGAAAAGCTGCAGAAAGAATCAGGAGCCCAGATGAGGGGTCAAAGGAAGTGAGGGGTGGGGGCAGAAAGTGGAGACAAAAAAAGACAACAGAACTTTGCTAGGGAGCAAGAAAGTATGTGAAAGGAGAATATTTGAGAGAAAAAAAACATTCCATCGCTACCCGGATTCGAACCCGGGACCTTTGGATGAGAGGCAAACACTTTAACTTCTCGGCAACGATACCCCCCTACCCCCAACACACAAATACACACACACACACACACACACACACACACACACACACACACTCATAAACTCACACACACATGTCACATGTACTTTCTCCCACTCGTTCTCCCGTTTCCTCTCTTTAAAAACAACCCACCCTACAAAAACAATGACGGTACTGCTGACAAATCATCAACAACCACGCCCGCAATAATGGCTGTTGTAATTGTCACTGACAGTCGCCCCAACCTTCTAGGAAAAACAAAACAAAAATAAACTAAAACATAGCAACCAAAGACACCCCCCCCCCCCCACACACACACAAAAAGGACAAGAAAAAACAAACCACCTCCCATAAAAACCATCAGGCGCTGCACAGTGACAATCAGCAATGGCACGTTTGTAGTGATTATCTGAATTTATTTTCCCATGCTCCTATGTATTTATGTGTCATATGTACCATATATTTATGTATCTCGTATAATATACGCATTGCCGTTGAAAACCAAATTTCTCCCACGGGGATCTATAAAAGTGAAATTTCATTCATTCATTCATTCATTCATTCGTTCGTTCGTTCGTTCGTTCGTTCGTTCGTTCGTTCGTTCGTTCGTTCGTTC